GCGGCCCGCGCCACGGCCAAGGTTTGATTTTTCATTTTTTTACCGCTCGTAGATCAACGCCCGTTGAAAGTCCCTTGACAAGCAGCTGCACACACCCCTCACCTGATATCCCGCAGACCTTGGACGAAAAAACCCTTGCCCTCTACTGCATGGTTCTGGATGCTACGGCGCAGCCCAAGGCGCTGCTCGAGCTTCTGGATCGCGACACCCGTGAGCTTCCTGATCCCACTCTTCACATCGGATGCTTCAACCTCCTTGGACAAACTCTCATGAGCCCGCCTTCTGCTTTGGGCTTCTCGTGTAGGTGCGGAGCTGGGCAATGGACAACTCTTGCCGCGAGGTCGAGACCGTGTTGGCAAGCTGATGGCGTGCGTGATGGCTTCCCAAGTCTAATGTGACCCGTGTTCTCCCTTGAACCATGTCGCCAGCTTGCTTGCATTCACACCCCAAGCTTTGTTTTATCACCCATAGCGCCCTCAAGGGTAGCCAGCAACACGCCCAGCTCAATGCTGTGGCTCAGGAAAACTTGGCAGCCCTGTACGATTTAAATCACGCCCTCCGCCCGCCCTCATCTTTCGGGCTACCGCCTTTTGCCCTTCGGCAGCCCTCATTGGCACTCGCTGACCCATTTATCCCTGCTAGGCCCGATGACTGGGTGTCTTATCTGCACTATCTCGACTCGGCCTTTGCGCTCGCGGAGCCTGCTGCCTCGGCCGGTGATGCCACTGATGACACCGCCGACGAGGCATCCTACCATAGTTCTGAATTTAAGCCACACACGCAGTTTGCTGATGTTCAGGCTCACCTCGAGAAGCTGGCCCGTCAGGAATTTGCCAAGGTCAGTTGTTATCATCGTCATTGCCATGGCCAGATGCAGTTGCAATTCCGCTTCACCTGGCTCCCTGCTGTCGCGCGTTGCTGCTGCAGCTGCAACTTGCCATGTGTCATTGCAAAGTGCATCATATTTGTGCCTTGCAATGCCTCATCTCTCCCATTGTGTCCGATTGTGCAGTCTGGTCCTTGTCGTGGGCCCTTTCTGGCTCTTCTCGAGTTTCACCAGCGCCGTGGCAATCCTTGGACCGGTGCGCTCACGACATGACTGTCTTGAGTCCATGTGCTCCAGCCGCTCTGCTGGCGTTGCCAGTTGGGTCTTCTTACTTGATGGCGCTGTGTGACATGATAGATGTCGAGCCAGTTCTGGAACAATATCTCGAAAAGTTTGGCTCCAAGCTCTGCTGCTTTCCGGATCTGCAATCTTACTTGGACCGCCTGTTGGATAGCGGTCATACCGCGCAGGTATGGGGTTTGCCTATATATTTGGATTTTGACTGGCGTAAAATCACTGTGGTCTGACCCCACCTGGCTCGGGCTTGCCGACATGCTAGTTTTTGGCGACAGTGGCCAGCTCGCTGCAGGCAGCAGAGGCACGACAGGAATCGAGCGTACGTGGCGAGCGACAGGACTCTCGTGCCTGTGCCTTTGTGCTTGCCGGTCTAACGGTCTAACATTGCCGGGGGGGGGGCTGGGGTTGTAGGTCAAACTGGCGCTGCGCCGCGGTCAAGAACGCATGTTCCAGCGTTATTGCAGCTCACTTGCCAGTACGGAGGAGCAGTTCTCATCCCTGACGGCCGAGTACATTGAGACGCTCCCGCTTGGAGCCGATCTTCAGTCTACAGAACTCCAATACGCCGATACGTTTGCTCTCTTGGCCGCGCACGTCGCCCTGGATCTCTTCGCTGCCCAAGGTCTGGCTTTTGCGTGCGCACCCTCCTACTATCTTGCCCGCCTTGGTGGTTGGCTCAGTCTCATACACATCAACCCTGGCAGGCGAGCACACAACGTTGCTTCGGGCCGTGCACTTGCTGGAGTTTGCGCTCACCAAATCCTCAGCGTCGTCTCAGCTGCGGCTGTGCCTTGTGCGCATCTACTTGTTGCTGGGTTCGTCAGCTTGCCACCCCCTTTGCGCCAAGTCTTTGAATTTTTGAGCTGCGTCGTTGGCTCACCCGACTCATCTGATCGCATGCACTTGTAGGTGCGGGCGCATCGGCGTTGACACATTGGCGCATGCTCGACATCAAGTCCATTCAGCACGATTCGATTGGGTACGGGTCTGGGTCTGGGCTGCTGGTCGTCAAAATGCCCCTTGTCACGTCAGCCATTCACAAATTTGATTGGAAACGCACACAGATATCTCATGTTGGAGACTTTGCCCCGTATTGGCGGCTGCGAGCAAGCACTGGGGCTGGCCAACGAGGGCCTTCGCTTTCTCAGTGGTGGTTGGTCGTTCTCCAATCGTTTCCCACAACCATTTTTTTTTTTTTTTCTGTTTGGTCTTGAAATATGTTGCCTCCTCATCTCATTTGTGGCGTTTGCGCAGCGGAAGCGTCAGCTCAAGAGGCTCTGACGCGGGCCTTCCAGCACAACACCTTCCCCATGATTGAGGAATTTTATCACATGCTGGTATGTAACTGAATTGTAAAGAGTTTTCAATGTGGTTGCCGATTTCTCTTACAATCGGCATGGATCGCGCAAATCCGTGGCTGCTTGGAACCCGCAGCACAAGCTGTCAAAATCAACAATGGCGACAAGCTCGACCTGCGATGCCCTTCGCATCCATTTCATGACCAATGCCAAAGTACGTGCTTGTAGCTCTGGTTTTGGGAAGAAGGCCTGAGTGATTGGCGGGCATGTGGCGCTGGGTGCTAAGCATGCAGGGATGGGTTTTACTTGCTGATCAGACATTCTGCGGCTTTAGACGTTGACAGAGATGCAATCGGGGTTCGACTTGGTTGTCGAAGACATGCCCAGTGACGAGGTGCTGGCATCCAACGGCCTTGCAGACAACCGCCAGTTTGAGGTGATGGACGACTTTGTCCGTTCGACTCGGTACGGTGTGCGCAGCGTAGTCAAAAGGATGAGTCGCTTTGACGTGTGGCTTCTTCTTGCCGAGGACCGGTTTAGGAAGGGAGATCATAATTTCTCTTTTTTTTTATTTTTTTTTATTTTTTTTTATTTTATTTTATTTATTTATTTATTTTTTTTGCGGGATGTAGATCGGTTGATGCCGCGTACGTCAAGGAGCTCAATGCGCGTTATTTGCGATTCCGGTGTCGATTGCTGCGTGTCCTGGAGCGTACCGTGGATGATAATGTGGACAATTTTGCCGAGGACATGACTGCTTTGGTGGCTGATCTGGCCCAGGGTGAGCGCCCAGAGGGAAAACGGGACGCATTCGAGCTATGGTTTTGTGTTGTGCTTATATTCTGTGCACACTTGTGATTGCGACAGTTGACCAGCATCAAGCGTCATTGGCAGCAGCCGCGACCAGCGAGTTTGTTTATCCTTTCACGGTGCGCCCCTACTTCCTGCCCGCTGCTTCGTGGCGTCCCGTGTGCGAGCAGGGTGCAGACCGCTCTCTTGTATCAAGGTGGCAGGTGCCTTCGTCTTTCTTTCCTCATCCATGTCGTGCTGCGTGTTTTGTACGTTTTGCGGGGACTTGTGACAGGCGTTGGGGGCACTGCGACCGCGGGGCGTGTTCTTGCATGCTGACACCGTGCAGATGTGGCATTCGTTCTTGACGACGGCAAACCTCGTGTTGCAGGCCGTGTACGACATGCCCGAGAGTGGTTGCAAAGGTATGCAATTCCTACTGAATCCCGGCACCCTGCAGAACAGGAAATCGGAGCTGTCGGCTGCCACGACACTCGCAGGCATCTCACCAAATACTTTTGTGGTTTTGCCTGCGATAGGGGATGCGCTCACTGAGCTGGTGTCTCGCGTGGGCGATGCAGCGCGCGCCTTGAGCCAGGGCTATGAAGCGGTAGCAAAGCAGCTAAATCAGCGTCTAGCTGCTTTGGAAGCGGCAACGCTTCCCTCATCGGCAGATCTGGAGGTTGCTGTGGATTCCGCCGAGGTTTGTGGACTAGCATGAATGCACCTTGTGTCTCAGGTCCGACGGCACGCGCTCACCGATGTGGGCTGCAGATCTTGGCTAGCTATCGCTTGATCGTGCTGCGGATCTTGAAGCGCTTGGAACTGCCCGAGTCAGTGCCTAAGCCACGACGCAAGACGGTGAGTTAGCCGGGAGTCGACTCTTGATTGTGGTCAAAACCAGCTTGTGAACGACTGACACGGCACGCTTGTCGTCTTGTAGGTCACTGCTGTGCGCGAGGCAGTCACAACGGCAATCGCGACGACGGTGGATCTGCTGGTCGAGCTTCGCGACAAGGCGGCTAACATTAACGTATGTGCGCCAAGCCGCGTTCTTTAGAAGGGTGTGTAGGGTCCTCCTGACGTGGACCCTGGGATCTTGTTGTTTAGAAAACCTGGTTGTCGACGCGGTCGGAGCAAACCTTTGAGGTGCAGCTCCCGGGTCTGACAGAGGGTCCTCAATGGCAAACCTCGATGATCCGAGCCATCTACGCGTCCATCCACAACATTTGCAACGGTGCGTCACAAACTGCTGCTTGCTCTTTGCTAGCTATCGACCACTCGACTCGTTCATTGGCATGTAAACTGGGTGTTTATTTTTGTTTTTTGTTTTTTGTTTTGTTTTTGTGTTCTTTGGGGGTGGGGGGGGGGTTCTTCTATCCTTTTGCAGCTACGACCTCGGTTGCTGCATCGCTGGACGCCTAAAGCAAGATATCTACGATTCCCTTTGCCAGACGCTCAAGAGGACTTTTGGGAAAGAGTGTTTCTTTTTCGAACACAATTCAGAATACCCCGAATCCACAAAACATCTTCCTTCATCATCACCATCGAGACAGTAGCACGTGCAGTTTATGAACATCGACATGTCCAAATCACAGAAAAGACATGACACTGTGGGTGATGACCGAGCGCAAGTCGGATACGCCGCGGTCACTGGATCCAAAAAGTCATCCCGAGTCAATGACTGCCACCAGAGAGCGCGCGCCAAGATTGGCCTTCGCGACATCAATGAGTAAGTGTGATATTAATCACACCTTATATAGTCCATGCCCCTAATTATAGAGTTGCCTTTGGTTGAGGCTACACCTCTGCCTCAAATATCGTGCTCTGACAGCATCTTTATTTATTGTCAGATCGATCATAATCTCTGTTTTAGCTATATTTTATCACGTCAGCTCTTGACCGACACGACAAACTCTCTCAATTTGCTGCAGACAATGCTCATTCTCTGGCTTTGCAACACGACTCGAACACAACCTCTAGAGAAGGAACCTGAAATGCCAAATTTGGCTCTTCCATCAAACGTCTTACTTTAGGAGTCGGGTTCGTTCCTCCCATACTGACGATGCAAGCAGTCATGACGATACGCGTAAGACCGAGCGTTGCCGCGTTGGCACCCCCGAGGGCGAGGCTGAGCGGCAGAGCTGCACAACTCGTCTACCTGTCTCATTTTGCATGACTAGCTTCCCCGCCTCTATCTCGTTTATTCCTCTCTCGCCCCTGCCCCCGCGTCCACTTCTGAAGTTGTCCCGTCGCCGTCTCGGGTGCGCGGGGTGGCTTTTCCCAACTCATTTTTCTCAAGACTGCACTGGGGCCCTTCATTTTCGCTCTGTCACTGGCCATCATGACCAAGCAGACCACAACGACCATTCCCGCCTCGGGCGTGCCCGAGGCTCCGCCGTTACCGAATCAAACACGCACCGCTGTCCTCAAGACACCACAGCGACCCGCAACGGCGCCACTCACATCCTCCAACGACTCGGCCAGCGTCTTTGCTTTGGCCGCACAGGTGGCTCGCAGTCGGCGTCAGACGCGCGAGGCACGCCGAGCCTCCATGCTGCGCAAGAAGCGGCGTCCCGCCTGCCTCTGCCACGCCGACGGTGTTTGGTCAGCAGATGCCATCAGCAGCACGTCTTGCTCGAGCGACACGGACAGTGACAGCGACACGTGCTCCGACTCTGAATCCAACGTCGATGCTACATCCATCCTCAGTTTTGCGCTACAGCATGACATCTTCAGCGACGCGTGGGAGCCGCCCAAATGCTGTTCTTGTACCGCTGCCGGTTCCGACTCGGCCGACTCGGCCGCAGCAGCCACAGCTAGCGCAGCTGAGCACCAGCTTTCATGTTTGGTCTGCTTTGAAGACATTGCTGCTGGCTCCTCGACCCTTCATTACACCTGCCAACACGGACACACCGTCTGCTCGGGGTGTCTGACCCGCTGCCTCGGCGTGCGCGCTGAGGATAACAATCACTTTGTCAACCCTTTTCAGTGTCCTGGCCACTGCCAAGAGTCCATTCCCATTACCACAGTGCGGAAAGCCGTCCATGCACGTGACTTTGACAAGCTGCAGGATCTGCACACGCGCTTTCTCAACCCGTCCACTACGAGTTGCCCGGCGTGTCACGTCGCCGTTGACGTGGGAGCAGCCTTCCCGGCTCTGGAATGTCCCTCCTGCCATCTCAGCTTTTGCGCTTATCACGGTGAGTGAAAATGAAGATGTTGAGACCATTGTCTCGTCTGGGTTGCATGGGCACGAGGAGCCATTTCAACACCTGCAGACGCTGACAACCCCTCGTTGTCTTCCTGGCTTGTTTTTCAATCTAGGCTTGGATCATGCTGGCGCGCCGTGCCGACCTCCACGCGAATCACTGGTGGCACGACTGCGCACCAAGATTTGGCTCTGGCGCACCACCCGCAAGTGCCCCAATTGCTTGAATCGCATCGAGAAGAATGGCGGTTGCCCTCACATGACCTGCCGTTGTGGCTACGAAATGTGCTGGAACTGCGGCGGCGCCTACTATCGTTATGGCCGAAGTGGCCATGACCAACAGCTGTTCCCCAAGCTGAGCGAGCTCAAATTCCAGTGTAACTCGGCAAAAATGTGGAGCCTGCGCGTGCTTGCTGTGCTGGGCATTGTTCCAGTGGGAGCCGTTTATCTCAGTGGCAAATACCTGGTCGTTTATCCCCTCCTTTGTGTCACCGTGGGAGGTCTTGTTTCTCTGCGCGCCGTCCGCCGACGTTTGCACCGTCGCGCACTGCGACGTGAGCACGCAGCCCGAGCTCGAGGGGTGCGTCCCGGACATGCTTTGCTTGCAGTGTGCATTTGACATGCAGCCTGACCGTCACTCCCGACTGTTTGGCACCCACGCTCTCACTCATCATTGTTATCGCTTTGAGCGTGTAGGACGCTGCTCAAGTATGCCAACAAATGCGCGAGTACGAACGGGCGCATGGCTCCATCAGTGAGCAGCACCTTCAGCCCTGCCTCACTTGTGAGGGGCGCACCCATTGCGCTCATCCTGTTGTTGACTCGGCCAACTTTTGCACCGCCTGCAACCACTTTCTTGGCACTGCCAACGAGGTATGTTGGCATCATGTGGACACATGGCAAATGTGCCTTCAACTTTGACATTGATGGGCTGCGCCAGCTCAGCTCATGCCTGCCTTTGGTATCGCCGCCAACACAGCGCTGCTTTCATTATTTTGGTACTGGCCAAGTTTGTCAGTTTTGCCATCGTCACCAGGATCATGTTGCCCATCCTGATGAAGGGGAGGAAGAGGCAAGCGCAATCGAGGGGGATTCCGTCAGTTCGAGCTCTGATAGGAGCTGGCTTGGCCAGCCCAGCTTGTCATCTGCCCCGGCAGAGGCCATGGCCGCTTTGCAACGCCGCAACAGCATCTGAGTCGCCCCGAGTAATGCGTTCTGGCCGCAAGTCGTGCACAACTTGCATTTGATGATTTAAACGTGAATGATTATATTATTGTTATGACCAAGTGCCATATCCAATCCTGCCCATGATATGATAATCGTACAGCTGAACCTTGTCGTTGAAATGAATAATTGACACCCGAATTGACACGCCCAATGCGATATTGCGATTGAGACTTGGTGGGGCACACTTGGAGGCGGTCTTCCAGACCGGACTACATCATTCGTCTAGCCGTTGCTTTCATCTAGCTTGCTCACAGCGCGTCGATTATGAAGGTCATGGCCGATACGCCCAGCGCTCGAGAATGGCACTGCCCACCACCGAGGGAAGGCGATTGTCCGAGAACGCGCGCAAGTTGATTGTGAGCACCTCGGCTGGCCAAGGCAACTCAAGGCCCGAGTTTGGGAAGAGCGGAGAACTGCTAGAGGGCACACTGCCGTCCATAGTATATCGGATCGCTGCCAAAGGATCCGAGCTGGTGGCATTGGTCAACATCAGCACGGTTGGGTCGGTACTTGTCATGGGTGGAGCAAATACCTCGAGATGCGGGGTAGCAGCCAGTGGGAATTGGGCGGTGACAGTATTGTTGGTTCGGAGCACTTTTGAGCTGCAGTTGGGCTGTCCCTCGAGGATGGCGGGAACCCCATTGGTGCAGGTCTGAAAAACGTTGTCCCGTAATTGGCCGGATGGCTGGGCGCCGCCAGGGCACACAAAGACAACGCCGGCGCGATCGCCGCGCACAGCCTCACAACCGGCTTGAACAAAGGCATTACCACCAAGTGTGAAGTTTTGAGCCGTGGTTCCATGGCCAAAGATCATGACGCCAGAGGCAAACGGTTGATAGAACAAGTTGTTTAGAACTTGAACACCAACCGAGGCAACTTCAAAGTCGATGCCGCAGCCGTCGGGGCTGCCTTCGTACTCACCGCGTCGAACAAACACATTGTTGCTGATGACGGTGGACCCGTGGACTGGACCAAGCATGATGTCTGTCGTGCCATGCAAGAACATGCGTTGGGGCTGGTCGTAGCTAAAGACATTGCCATCCACGAGTGAGTTTTCGCCCCGCACAATGACGCAATTGCCGCCACAATGGTGGAGGGTGTTGGCTTGGAGGACAAGGTTGACAAGGCCGACGTTTACGGTGTCGAAAAAGGCATCGATGCGATTGGCGGCGTTGTGCTGGATGGTGGCGTTGTAGACGGTCGCGACGGCCATGGAGGAGAAGTCGATCGTGCGGCTCCAGAAGCCAGACTGTGGGTTGTAGGCGTCGGGGGGAACCTGGTGATCGCGAAAGTAGTTGTTTTGTACGAGAAAGTCTGATCGCACGATATTTGCCCCAAACAAAAAGTGAATGGCCGTCGAGCATCTATGGGGGGAGCGCGCGCAAGGGAGATGAGAGGGTGGACGAGAAGATCAGGCATGTGTGGAGATGTACGGGGATGAGATTACACACAATCCAGCCACGCACCCGCCAAAGTGCAGGTTTTCGACGGTAATGTTGCCGCAGTTGACAAAGGTCAGACAGTAGGTCAGATTGAGAAAGCTAGTGGCGTGTTCAATGACCGGGCGATGAAGAGAAGCGTTGCCGTAGTCCCACACGTGAATGCCCGTGAGGTTGTCCACCTGAAGCGTCTCATCGTGCCAGACGTCACCACGTCGGAGGCGAACGGCGTCATGATCCTGCAACCTGCTCGATGCAGCGGCCAGGGTCTTCAGCGGATGGCTCGCATCTGTTCCCGGGCTGGCGTCATCTCCCAGGCTGGCGCTCACAAAGTACGTTGCCTGACCCGCGACGGGTAAAACCAGGTGCAACAGCACAAGACTCACGACAAGACCAACAGACCCTACCGACGTTGCCAACCATCGCCCGCCCAGCCCAGGTCCCGTTGATCCTGCCATCTGCACCGATCCCAGCACGTAAGCTCAGTTCAGATCTATGCTCGTAAAAGTAATAATAAAATAAAAATCATAAAATTTAATGAAAATGCGCGAAAGACATAAAAAATTCGCGTGTGTGTGTGTGTGTTGTGTGTGTGTGTGTGTGTGTGTGTGTGTGTGTGTGTGTGTGTGTGTGTGTGTGTGTGTGTGTGTGTGTGTGTGTGTGTGTGTGTGTGTGTGTGTGTGTGTGTGTGTGTGTGTGTGTGTGTGTGTGTGTGTGTGTGTGTGTGTGTGTGTGTGTGTGTGTGTGTGG